TCGTCGCGTGGTTGCCGGCGTGGGGCGTGCCGGCGACGTACGGCGTCGCGGCGACGTACGTGTTGGCGGACACGGTTGACAAGGGGCTGAAGCGTTGGAAGCAGGCGGAGGGCGACGACGATCGATTGAACCAAGCCGTCGGGGTCGCCACGGAAACGGTGACGTGGCAGATGCTCGCGAGCGTGTTCTGGCCGGGGTCGTTCATTCGCGTCGTCGTGGCGTCGACGAACTTGGCGTTGGCGAAGGCTGATACGTCGGCGTTCGAGGCGCTCGCGGCGCAAGGGATCGACGTCGAGAAGATCTTGCCGACTCTCTTCGGTCTCGCCGCGATTCCGTTCATCGTGAAGCCGATCGATACCACCGTAGACGCGGCGGGTGAGGTGTCGTTCGGTAAGGCGATCCAAGGCAAGATGGAAGGCGCTTCCGACTGGGCCGTCGGCGCCGCCGTCATGGCCGCGTGCTTGGCCGTGCCCCCGACGCTCTTCAGCCTCGCGGGCTTCATCAACGACGCCGCGGGCGTCGTTCCGTTGGAGTAGACGAATTAAGTCATTGAAATCAACACATCATTCATTCGCACTAACAAATATTTGTGAACGAAAAAGCGTCGGCTCTCTATGTGCTAAGATGTTTCTGGTGCTTCGTCACGCCAAGACGACGTCTGACTTCTTGCCCGTGCCCGCCTTACCCATCTTGATCGTCTCGCCCTCGATCTCCTTCCTCTTGTAGTAGTGCGGCGCGATTTCGACGAGCCACTCGGGTTTGATCTCGATCACCTGTCTCATGTACTCCTTGGACGTATACACGAGCTCAAAGTACACGACCCATCGAGGAAGCTCTTTCGCGAGTCCGCTCGAGGGGTGGATCGCCACCGTTTGCGGATTTTTCACCGTGCGATAGCTCCCGTTCTTTTGCAGCTTGGCCGTGTGATAGAAGAAGCCACTCGTGATGCACTTCTTGATGCCGTCGATGTCGTTTGGATTGGACGAGGGCTCGATTTCGACGCGCTCGAGAAGCTTTTCGAGTTGCTCTCGGATGTCCCGCGCCGTCTTCATCGTTCGCTGCTGCACGAAATTTTCGTAACACCAAGTCACGGAAAAATCGGCGTCGCGCCAAGAGTTGTACACGTTTAAGAGTGCGATGTGATCACCGGGATTGCCGATGTGAAACGCTTTGTGCGCGTGATCGGCGAGCTGTAGTTTGTCTTTCGGGCGATAGAACACGGCGTTGCCGCAAGACAGCATACAGCATATCGTCATGACTTCATCGCTCACCTTGTACTTGTCGCTCGCGCAGAGCGTCTTGGAGAGCATTGGGTCGAGGGGGAACTCGGCCATCTTACGTCCGAGCTTTGTGAGCTCACCGCGGTCATTCAGCGCGCCGAGAGCGTACAACTGTTCGAGCGCTCGCAGGAGCGTCTCCGCGGGCGGGGGGTCCATGAAATCAAAGTTCATCAGGTCATTGATCCCGAGCGATTTGAGCATGAGTACGACGTTCCCAAGGTTTGTCCGTTGAATCTCCGGCACCGTGTTCGGGTCGAGCTCGTTTTGGAAGCTCCACGCCGTGTACAGACGGAAACATTTACCCGCCGAGGTACGACCGGCGCGACCGGCGCGCTGCAACGCGCTCGCCTGCGACGTCGGTGTGACGACGAGAGATTCCATACCGGTGCGCGGATTATAGCTCTTCTGCTTGCAAAACCCAGGATCGATGACGTACTTGATGCCATCAATCGTGAGCGACGTCTCGGCGATGTTCGTCGCCAAGACAACCTTGCGCGCGCCTTTGGGTGGATCCTCAAAAATCTTCGCCTGTAAATCGCTCGGAAGTGAAGAATATATCGGGGCGATGATGAGTTCTGGCGGTTTCTTCTCCATCTCATGGATTCTCGTCTTCAGAAGCTCTTCGATGTTTTCAATCTCCTCCTGACCGGTGCAAAATACCAAGATGTCGCCCTCTGGTTGCGTCAGGTGAATTTGTAAGATGGTCACCACGGACGCGTCGACGTAATCAGCCTCGGGCTGTTGAGTGTACAAGATGTCGACCGGGAACCTACGACCTGGAATCCTAAAGATTGGCGCAAAATCAAAATACTCGCTGAACTTTTCTGCGTCGAGCGTGGCGGAGGATATCAAAAGTTTGATCTCTGGACGGAAGCGAGCAATGTCCTTGACGAGACCGAAGAGCACGTCCGTGTGCAGGGTGCGCTCGTGCGCTTCGTCCACCATCATCACCGCATACGAAGAGAGATCGGGCTCGCCTAGAAATTCGCGCAAAAGCATACCGTCCGTCATGTACTTGAGTCGAGTCTTGTCGTTTGTGCAATCCTCGAAACGAATCGAGTAACCCACTTCGTGTCCAAGCTTGACCCCAGCCTCTTCGGCGACGCGCGCCGCGACAGACATCGCGGCGACGCGTCTCGGCTGTGTGCATCCAATCTTTTGCGTCTTCCCACCGAAGCCAGCCTCCCACATGTATTGAGGAATCTGCGTCGTTTTGCCCGAACCGGTTTCGCCGACGATGACGACGACTTGATGATCCTCGACAGCCTTGATGAGACCATCGCGATATGGGAAAATCGGCAGCGATTTACGATCTGCTTCGATCTTCGCCCGCTTTCCAAGCTTCCCTGCCAACGCCAGCTTCGTGCGCTTCTCCTCATCCATCTCGCTCTCGTCGCTCCGATCGGAGACGTCGTCGCCGTCGCTCTCATCGGATACGCCGTCTCCCGCCATGATTTCATCCTTAATGAACTTGATCTGATCGTCGTACAGGAGATCGTACTGCTTCTCCTCTGTCTTTTTATTTTTCGCCCCGAACTGCGTCTGCGCTTGCTTCACCTGATGCGCCTCCCATCGATCCTGATCCTTGAACGGGTTGGCGTCGTCCTCCGGATCCGGCTCCTTGTACCGCTGTCTCGCGACGGCGAACCGCTCGTTCATCGATTTAGGCTTGTTCGGATCGTCATACGCCGTGGGAATTTGATACCGCTCCTCCAGCGCCTCGTTAATGCTATTGATCTGTTCCATCGCGAGCTCGTACACCTTTTTCCTCTTCTCGAGATCCGCCCGTTGTTCCTCAGTCACGTCTTGGCCTTCGTAAAAGTACTCCGTCTCACGAATCGATTCCTTGAGTTCTTCGAGTTTTTGGAGTTCGCGCTTCTTCAAGTACTCCTGTCTCGACACCTTACGAAGCTCCGGAACGAGATCCATGCGCTGCGCATCGCTCTCGAGACGCGCCCCTCGTCGTTCCGCCTCGGCGCGCTCCGCCTCGCTCGGCTCTCGCTCATTCACCTTTTTCGTCTTCGCCGCATCCCTCGCCCGCAACCGTTCCTCAAACGCATCCCGCTCCCGCGCATCCTCCTCCATCTCCCGTCGCCGCGTCGTCTCCTCGCTCTCGCTCTCCGGCGTCGTCTCCGCGTCGTCGTCCCGCGTCCCCCGCGCCCGCCCGAGCGCGACCCGCCGCGTCGCCGCCGCCACCGCGTCCTCCTCGCTCGACCCCCCGTCATCCACCGCCCGTCGCCGCAGCTTCTTCCCACGTTTCTCCGCGCGCCGTCGCCCTCGAGACACCGTCGCGTCGTCGTTCTCCGAGCTCGACGGCGTCGCCTCCACGAGCGCGTACGCGTCCGCCGCCGCGAATGATGATCCAGCCGCCGCCGCCACCACCGCCCTCGGCGCCCGCTCGCGCGCGTCTCGCCCGTCGCGACCGCACGCGCACACGCGCTCGGCGAACGCGCGCGCGCCGTCGTCGCTCGAGAGCCCGGCGTGGACGAGCTCGGTGGTCAACGCGTGTGGATTGAAATCAACCCTCGACGCCGCGTCCGCGACGAAGGACTCGAGCGCGCGCGCGGACATCCCGAGGAGGTCGTGGAGGCCGTCTCGGATGACGTCGTCGAGCGTCATCGCGCCCGCGACGCGACGGGCGGTGGCGATGGGCGTTTTCATGGATGTCATCAATGCATGATTTCATCACTTCGACGCATCGAACGCGTCAGTCGCCGCGGCATCGCGCGCGCGACGGAACGCCGCGCGCCTGACGATCGTGAACGGACGCGCGATGACGTCGCGCGCGCGCGCGGGCCCGGTCGTCCAGCGCATCGCGAGGAATCGCGTTTTTGGCGATGACGTGAAAGCCTCGCGAAGAACGTCGCGAGTGACGCCCGCGAGGGACGCGCGGGCGCGCGCGACGGCGCTGGAGATTGTCGATCACGCGTTGGAGACGCACGGTGATCGAATCGCGATCGCGTTCAGCGGGGCGGAGGACGTGGCGGTGATTCAGTACGCGGCGCTCACGGGACGGGGGTTTCGCGTGTTCTCGCTGGACACGGGACGGTTGAACCCGGAGACGTACGAGCTGTTCGATGCGGTGGAGAAACACTTTGGAATAAAGATTGAGTACTGTTTTCCAGACGCGGATGCGGTGAAGGCGCTGGTGAATGAAAAGGGGATGTTTTCGTTTTACGAGGATGGACACAAGGAGTGCTGCGGCGTGCGCAAGGTGCAGCCGTTGCGGGCAAAGCTGGCGACGTTGGACGCGTGGATGACGGGACAGAGGAAGGATCAGAGCCCGGGGACGAGGAACGCGGTGCCGGCGTCGCAGGTCGATCCGGTGTTCGTCGGTGCGAAGGGAGGCGAGGGGAGTTTGATGAAGTACAATCCGCTCACGGATATGACGTCGACCGAGGTTTGGGATTTCTTGCGCGTCATGGGCACGCCCGTGAACGCTTTGCACGAGCGAGGGTACGTCTCGATCGGTTGTGCGCCGTGCACTCGCGCCGTACTCCCGGGACAGCAAGAGCGCGAGGGTCGATGGTGGTGGGAAGACGCCGCGTCCAAGGAGTGCGGATTGCACAGCGGCAACGTATCCGACGAGGCGAAGAAGACGCAAGAGGATCGCGAAGCGACGGAGGAGGACATCTTCGAGCACGAACTCGTACGCGCGCTCTCGCACGACCAGATCGCGGCGTTGCGGGATGAAAAGACGCACGCGGAGACGACGCTCGCCGTGCTCTACGCCCCGTGGTGTCCGCACTGCCAACGCATGGTCGACGGCTATGAAACCGCGGCGGAGCGCCTCACGCCGAACGGGATCACGTTCGCCAAATTCCGCGCCGATCGCGACGAAAAGGAGTGGGCCAAGGAAAACCTATCCCTCAACTCGTTCCCGACCGTTCTCCTGTTCCCCAAGGGTCGATCCGGATACATCAAGCTCGGGAGCGAGCGCAGGGACGCGGACTCGTTGCGAATCTTCATCGAGAGCGTCTGTGGAAAAATATGAGACGCCACGGCGCCAGACGACGCGTTCTCGACGCATATTTATCAATACATCTCCCCCCTACGACGCACGCGAACGATGAACGATCGCGCCACCGAGCCGCGTCGGCGTCTCTTTCGCGTCCCCAGTCTCCGCCTCGCCCCCGTCCCGCGCGGCGCCTCCGCGCGGCCGCGTCCGCCATGGGACTCACCGCCTCCTCCCTCAACCTCACCCAGTACGACATCGAGGACGTCCAGCAACACTGCGACGGGAAGTTCACGTCGAGAGAGATCCAGGCCCTGTACGCGCGATTCCGATCGTTGGACAAGAGACACAAAGGATTCCTCACCGAGGATGAATTAATGGCCATCCCCGAGCTCGCCATCTCCCCGCTCGCGCCGAGAATCGTGCAGATGTTTCAAAATCAAAACTTTAAGGATTTCGTGAAAATGTTAAGCGCGCTCTCACCGAGAGCGAGTCGGGACGATCGCTTGCGCTTCATGTTTCAGTGCCACGACGTCGACCGGGACGGCGAAATCGCGCGAAGCGATTTAGAAACCATGACTCGACATCTCGTGGGATCGAGCGTGTCCGAGGAAGACTTCAACGCGTTAATACACCGAGCGTTTGAGGATTTACGGGCGATGCGCGCCGAGCGCGCGGACGCGCGCGAGGGGTCCGCGCGCGGCGTCGCCTTTGACGAGTTCCGACGCGCCCTCTCCGCGGTCGATCGCACCTTACCCACCGTGCGCGTCCCCGTGGACGACGACGCGTGAGCGCCGTCGCGCGCGCTTCGGCGGCGTCGGCCGTGGACGAAGCGAGAGCCCATTGAAACCACCCGCGCGCGGCGGCGTCGCCGCTGTCATACATCCCAGACTGTTCGCCCACACGCATGTCGACACATCCCGACGCCCACGCCTCGCGCTCGGCGTCGCGATGCCGCGCGCGACGCCGCGCATCGGGTTCGACGTCATCGCGCGCGCGTCGGGATGCGTCGACGCGCGACGCGCTCGACGCGCGCGCGCGTGGCGTCCGCGCGCGTCCGCCGGCGGCGGCGACGACGACGCCGCGCGCGCGGACGACGGCGACGACGTCGCGGATGTCGTGCGCACCGCGCGCGCGGGCGTGGGTGGGATCGAATGGGCGACGACGTCCACGCGGGAAGACGCGCGCGACGGGGCGACGACGGCGGCGCGCGTGTGCATCGTGGGATGCGGGCCGGGAGACCCGGGTCTGTTAACCTTGCGGGCGTTTCAGTTGATGCGTCGGGCGGACGTGGTGTTGTACGATAGATTGGTGTCGAATGAGATATTAAACCTGGTGCGAACAGAGGCGAGGATGGTGTACGTCGGGAAGCGCGCGGGATTTCACACGCGGACGCAAGAGGAGATACACGCGCTGTTGTCGGCGTTCGCCGAGCGCGGGGCGCTCATTTTGAGGTTAAAGGGCGGCGATCCGTTGGTATTCGGACGCGGTGGCGAAGAGTTTGAGTTTCTACGGGAGAAGAATCCGGACGTGCGGGTGGAGGTCGTTCCGGGCATCACCGCGGCGTCGGGCGTGGGGAGCGAGCTCGGGATTCCGCTCACGCATCGAGGCGTCGCGACGTCGGTGCGATTGCTCACGGGTCATTTACGAGAGGGCGCGCGCGAGCGCGGCGAAGACCCGGTGGATTTCGCGGTGACGAGCGCGGATGCGGACACGACTTTGGTCGTCTACATGGGTCTCGGCACGCTTCCTCGATTGAGCGAAAAACTCATCGAGAGCGGTTTCCCTCGCGACGCGCCCGCGGTGGCCGTCGAGCGCGGGACCACGGTTGACGAACGCCGTGTGTTCAGCTCGATAGAGCACCTCCCCGAAGCCGCGCGCGAGTGCGAGTTGGTCTCCCCGACGTTGATCATCATCGGCAAGACGTGCGTCCTGAGTCCGCACTGGCCTTACGCCGCGGGCGTCCGCGTCGGCGTCGACGGCGTCCCGCGTTGGATCGCGTCCAGCGGCAGCGTCCGCGCCCCCGAGGATCTCAACGACTGGCGCGCGTGGCTCGACGTCGATCTTACCTGTACGCGTCACGAATCACCCGCGAAAGTCATTCACGCCGACGGTATTTTGTAATCCAAATCGCTCGCCCGCGAACGCGCGCGCGAGACGCCAACCCTCCTCACACGTCCGCGCGCGATGGCTGAGGACGACGCCGCCGTGCGCGAACCGCTCGATCTCATACGGCTCGCCCTGGACGAGCGCGTGTACGTCAAGCTCAGGGGTGATCGCGAGGCCAGAGGGCGCTTACACGTGCGTGCGACGACGACGACGACGACGACGATGCGATTTTTTTTGTTTTCCACCAATCCAACGCGTGACTGACGACGACGACGACGACGACGCGCTCGCGATGCGCGCAGGCGTACGATCAACACCTGAATATGATCCTCGGTGAGGTGGAGGAGACGATCACGAGCACGGAGACGGACGAGGAGACGTTCGAAGAGTTTACGAAGACGACGAAGCGACGCGTCCCGTACTTGTTCATTCGAGGCGACGCGGTGACCCTGGTGTCGCCGCCGTTGAGGAATTGAGGCGATGATTTTGTAATGGGTACGCGGTGTTCTAGGTAGTCGAATGATTTTTTTGTTACACGCTCTAGGCGAACTCGGCGAGGTACTCCTGGACGGTGAAGGCGCGAGACGTCGGCGTCGCGGCGAGCTTGGCGGCGCGAGCGGCGTCGTAGGACGATTTCAACAGAGCTGCGCCTCGTCGAAGGATACCTCGCGTGGACTTTTCTCGGAACGTATCCGCTTCGCTCGGTGCGTCGAGTCGACGAAGATCGATCGCGAGCGACGTCTCGCGGTGCGCCTGTTGAAGGACGTCGCAAAGCTCCTTCTCCGCCGCTCCGGCGGATTGGCCGGCGGTGAGGAAAATATCGTCGTGATCTTCGTCATCTTCGGCGTTCGTCGCCGTCGAAGCCGCCGCCGCCGCTTGTTGTTCTTTTTCATCTCCTTTCGTCGTCCCCTCAGCGCCGTCCTCCTTCACGCCCATGTCCCAGTACGTCGTCAGACGCGTCGGTCGGCGAGAGAAGGGATCGCCCTCGCCCGTGTTGGCCAATCCCTTCTTCAAGCGCGCGACTTGTTCGGACGCACGCTTGGACAACTTTTCCGAGTTTTGAATCTCATTCTTACGATTGATGTTCGCCAGAGCGTCTTGCGTCGATCCCGATCGCTGTTCGAGCCTCGCTTTGACCTCGCGATCGATCTCCTCCAGTCGTCCTCTGAGTTCCTCCGCCTTTGCGAAATCGTCCTCCGCCTCGGCGTGCGCGATCGCGGTTCGAATCTGTTCCTTCTCAAACAACAGATTGTGTCGAACCCCACCGAGTCTCTCACGCTTTTGAGCCAAGATTTTCGTCACGTCGTCCGTGGTGTATCTGTAGTTTTGCGCCTCCCTCAAGTTTTCGAGCGCCTTTTGAACGTCCTCGCTCGTAATGGGTTTACACCCGGCGTCGCGACAGTGCGCCACCCACTGCGACCACTCGTTGTCTTGCGTCGCCGAGTTTGAAATCTCGGAGATTCTAAACGTCTTCTCGCTCTGGCCCCACTTCAAGACGAGCCACACGTTCGTCGGCGGCTTGTCCTTGACGTACGCGTACGGCTTTAAGGAATATTGCTTGTACTTACCCTCGGCGACGCCGCTGATCTCGACGAGGCGATAGACGTTTTCACCGTGTTTGTTCAATCCAATCCCGACTCGGGTCAAGCATCCGACGACGGCGGATTCAAAAAACGGCTCGGAGATCCAAGACTCGAGTTGATGCCGACGAATCGTGATCGATTCAATCTCCGCCTTGGTCGCGGGTTGATTCTTCGTCGACGAATCGAAATCGTCATCTTCATCCACCACCACCTCCGACGCCCCCCCCCGCTTCGGTTTCTTCGTCACCATCTTCCCGTCCCCCACGCGCGCGTCGTCGTCGGAATAATACTCCGCCGCCGCCTCCGCGTCGTCCTCCTCCGAGTCGTCGCCGAAGACGCGTCGCTTGCGTTCCCTCCGCGATCGTTCCTCCGCCAGTTTTTCCAACGCCGTGCGCGCCCCCGTGCGTTGGTCGCTCACCGATCGCTTCGATCGCGCCGCCATCTCCATGATCCGTCGTCGCGATTCGATCGCCCGGCGTCGCTCCGAGCGCTCCAACATCATCGTCTCTCGCTCGAGCTCCGTCATCGCGCGTAATCGCGCGCGATCGTCTTCGTCACCCATTAAATCATCATCCAGGCCGTCGCCGTGCGGGTCATTCGGGTCGTACGCGACGACGTCGACGTCGTCCACGTCCTCGTCGTCGCCGTTCGCCATCGCGCGCGCGCGTGGTCGTGAAGACGCGCGGGGACGGGGACGGGACGAGGGTTCGAGCCCGGCGCCGGGAACACCCGTAAGTTTTGCGACATCTTTTCGGGGAGATTTTGGGGTTGAAAATTAACACCAGTGTATGCATATATCCACGGTTCTGTGGCCCAATGGATAAGGCGCCGGTCTACGGTATGGACCGAGACCACACACGTTCCGTCGAACGAAGCGTTCGAGTTGTTAACCGGAGATTCCAGGTTCGATCCCTGGCAGAATCACTTTTGACCATATAATCATCAGAATAAACCCATTACAAAAGTTATCGTCCACCGCTGACTCTGTCGCGGTAACTCCGCTTGTAGCAAGCGTCGCACACGCGTCCACCGCTGACTCTGTCGCGGTAACTCCGCTTCCCTCGAGAAACCGCATGCGAGCATAGCGCGCACGTGAACGGTGGTTGTTTTGCGAGTAAAGTGATTTGGTAGCATCTTGCGCACATATAAAAATGTTTCTCCCGCGGCGTCGGGTCGCACGGCGCGTTCGAGCGCGTACGATATATAATGACGCGCGGTTATATTACTAACTATGATCACGGGTGACCCGACCTCGATGTATTACTTCGTGTACAGTTTCACGGTGCGATCGAAGCAGCCGATGATTAAGGCGTCGTCGGCGGCGACGTCGCAGCACGTGATTTTCGTCGCGCCGCTACCGGTACATACGACGATTTTTTTGTTCAACGAAAAATCTCGAGCGTCGTACGCGTTCACGGTGCCGTCGTAACTCGCGGAGAGTAAAAAGGCGCCGTTTGGTGCGTACCGAACCTGACTGATCAAGTTTTCGTGATTCGCCATCGTGTACACGCACTCGTTCGCGCGTCTCAAATCCCACGCCTTGGCCGTGTTGTCGCCGCTTCCGGTGACGATGTGCGTGCCGTTTGGATGGAAGTCACAACTCAAGATTTGTTTCACGTGTCCCCTGAGCGGGTTTCCGATCGCCCGACCGATTCGCAGATCCCACACGCGACCGACGGCGTCTAGACCGACGCTCGCCGCCAAGCCGCCGTCGGGGTGAAACGCCACGTCGTACACCTCCTTCGCGTGACCTTCCTGACACAGAAGTTCGTCCCCGGTCTCGACGTTCCACAGTCGCCACGTCGCGTCGAATCCGGCGGTGGCGACGTATCGCGCTCCGCTCGGATGGAAGGCAATATTTCCGCACCGCGCGGCGTGTCGACCCTTGAGCTCTCGCGCGCGAGAGCCATCGTTCGCGTTCCAAATCGCCGCAGTCCCGTCGGCGTGCGCGGTGGCGATCACGTTCGCGACCGCGTCCACGCCCGTGATTCTGTGATCGGTGCATCTGATGACGAGCTCGGACGTCATCCGTCCCGTGGGCGCGTCGATTTTCCACACACGCGCCTCGCCGCTCCAACTCCCCGTCACCGCCCTGCGCCCGTCGTCGAACGCGCGCGCGCACGCGATCGGCCGCGTATCATCCCCAATCTCACTGCATTGCGCCGCGAATCCCGAGGTGGAGGCGACGATGGCGTCCAGCGTCTTCGCTAAACCTCTCGCGTCGGCGTTTCTCACCCGTTCCTCTCGCACGCGCTTCGCCGCGCGCGGCAGCGAAAACTCCGCCATCGCCACTCGACACTCCAGCAGTCCCTTGACACCCTCGGTAAAAAATGTCTCCCTCTGTCGTCCTCGCTCCGGCGCGCCGTCCGCGTCCATGGCGTCGTCCTCCGCGTCCGCGCCGCCGCGTTCGAGTTCGCCCCCGTCCGCCGCGTCCAACGCCGCGAGGATCCCTCGCAGGCGCTCGCGCCGATCACCCTCGCGCTCACCGAACAGCGTCACCGGCTCACCGCGCCTGCGCAGCTCGGCCCGCGTCGCCGCGTCGTTCGTCGGCACCGTCGTCGCTCGTAGTTTTCGTCTCGACTCAAATTTCTCCACAATCTCTCGTCGCCGCGCCACCGCGCGCGCCATCGCGCTCGTCGACGCGTCGTCCGCCGCGTCCACCATCGCCGCCGCCGTCGTCGCGCACCGCGTCGGTCGACGGCGTCGGCGTCGAGAGATGTCGGCATCGAGGTCCATCGAGGCGTGGTTTTCATCGCCATCGAGCGCATCGCGCGTCCCTGGCGCCACCGCGCGACGCGTCGACGGCCTCGACGATGGACCGCGAGCTCGAACGCGACGCCGCGGACGCCGCCGCGCGCGCGCGGGCGCTGGAGGAGATACACGGCGCGCTGAGCTCGCTGCGCGTGCGCGATGTCGACGCGGCGGCGGCGGCGGATGAAAACGACGACGACGACGACGACGCGTGGGACGACGACCGCGGGTGGACGGCGAGCGAAGACGACGTCGATGACGTCGGTGATGCCCTCGATGCGCTGGACGCGCTGGACGACGTGGCGGCGCATCGGGGGGATGGACGGGGACCGACGCGCGGGACGCCGGGCGGGGCGGCGCGGGCGCTCACGCGGGCGGCGAACGGAGGCGGTCGGCGGTGGACGGGACGACCGAACGGTGGTGAGGGGGTGCGGATGAAAAATACTCCGTCGGGGTCGTCGAAGCGACCGGTGGGGGGACGTTTGGATAAGGCGCAAAAGGCGCTTCCGGGAACGTCGGCGAGCGAGCAAAAAGTGCGAAACGCATTCAAGGAACATCAGCGGAAAGAGTCGAAGAACGCTTCACTGAATAAAGATAAAGAAGATAGAGCGACCGTGGAGCAAGCGTTGGATCCTCGAACGATGCTGATCCTTTTCAAGATGCTGAGCAGGGAGACGTTTACGGAGATTCACGGGTGCGTCTCCACCGGGAAAGAGGCAAACGTGTATCACGCGCGAAAAGTTTCGCCGGATTCGCCCGCGGTGGACTTCGCGGTGAAGGTGTACAAGACCTCGATCTTGGTCTTTAAAGATCGTGATCGATACGTCAGCGGTGATTGGCGATGGAGAAACGGGTACAGTAAGAAGAATCCGAGGAAAATGGTGCAGACGTGGGCGGAGAAGGAGATGCGAAACCTCATTCGTCTCAAGGAGTCCGGCTTGCGCGTGCCAAAGGTGGAGATGCTGCGCTCGCACGTGTTGGTGATGGAATTCATTGGGACCGACGATGGCGTCGCCGCGCCGCGTTTGCGCGACGCCGCGCCTGGGATTTCAACTAAGAAGATGCGCTCGCTCTTCACCGAGCTCATCGTCGACGTGCGCTGGATGTATCAAAAGTGCCGCTTGGTGCACGCGGACTTGAGCGAGTACAACTTGCTCTTCCACGACGGACACATATGGATCATCGACGTTTCGCAATCCGTCGATCAAGACCACCCCAGGTGCTTGGAGTTCTTACGCGAGGACTTACTTCACGTGATTCAGTTTTTCGCCAAGCGCGACGTCGCGGTGCCGACGGTTCGCGAACTCTTTGATTTCGTCGTCGATCCTGCGATTAACGACGAAAACATGGAGGCCGTCTTGGAAGCTCTGAGCGAATCCGCGGAGTCCCACGCCGTTGAGCTGAAAAAGGTGAACGCGCAGTTGAACGCGCTGAACTCGCACGATCCCGACTCGATTCCAGAGGAGGCGATGAACGATCCGACGCTTCTCGAGCGCGCCGCCGAGGCGGAGATCCGCGCTAATGTGTTTCATCAGGCGTTCATTCCGCGCGCACTCGACGAGGTTGACACGTTCGAGCGCGATCAGCGTCGGCTGAAACAGGGCGACGGCGAGTCCGAGGGGATTTATTACCAAACCATCACCGGAATGGCGGACGATTTGAGCGGCGTGCGCACGACGCCGATGCTCATATCGAAGCGTCTCGAGGTCGTGGACGAGGACGAGGAGTCCGAGGACGGCGATGACGAAACAGACGAGGATGTGGATATGGAAGATGGGGAAGACGCGTCCGGGGACGAAGACGACCCGGAACGTCGTTTCAGAAAGGAACCCGTCGACAAGGAAGCCGCCAAGGCGGCTCGCAAGGCGGCGGCCAAGGCGCAGAAAGCCGCCGCCGCGGAGAAGCGAAAGACGAAGATCCCCAAGCACGTCAAGAAGGCGAAGACAAAGAAGGCGAAGAAGTAGAGCATTGTTGTAAACTATAGCGTAGACTACCTACCGGTGCGTGCCTAGAGTGAATATAATTATGCCTAGAGTTTGGATTTGCACGCGGAAACAAAATCTCGAGGTGAGCGTCGCTCCACGAGCGCCCTGAAATCTACATACGGCGTCATCCCGTCCTCGCGTCTGGACGTTTCCGTTAATTTAATCGTTTCGCCGTTGTACACGGCGCGGACACCGATGGTATCGTCGTTCATACGCCACGTCTCGAAGATCAACGCGCTGCACACGCGCGGCCACTCGCGAAGCGACCCAAACGCCGGTTCGTCGAGCGCGGCGAAGAGCGCTATGATGGTCGAGTCGTGTCCTGCGTACAACGTCAGTTTTACCGGAGACTCGCGAGTCATCTCGTCCGCAATCTCTCGCAAAAGCGAGGTCCCGATGAGGCGCTTGGCGTCGGCGCGCGTGAACGCGTCGAAATATCTACGCTCCATGAGACGCGTTAACTCACCGACGTCGTCCACGCTCACCCCTTGAGGGAGCGCCAATCCGTGGCTCACCCTGCACTGTAAGGGGTCCCACACGTGGGAGAGACCGGCGGGCCTTCCCTCGGGCCGCTCGCGCGTCATCGCGTCCCGCAACTTTCGAAGCGTCTCGAATCCGCGTCTCGCGAAAATAGCGTCGTCCTCCGCGAGCTCTTTCTCCCTTTGTCCGTCGAAAAACACGTTCAAGGCCTCACACGCATTTCCTGGTTTCGGAAACATCGTCTCAAGCGCCTTCTCTCGAACCTCAATCGAAACATTGGCTTCGACGTCTCGCCCGTCCGGCCACGCGCCTCGCGCGACGGCGCGCGCGCTCGCCGCGC